CATAGATTCGATTGTTAATAAGGAAAATTAAAGCATATAATATTTTTTCAAAGCCATAAAACATTTTATACCTGTAAAAGGTTAAGTTTTTGCTAGATTGCCACGAAGATAAAATTATAAAAATATTTTATATATATTTTTTTTTCTATAGAGCCGTTTCAGATGCCGCAGCTGGGGAGTATTCCAGTGCGATTGAAACATTAGTCACAGCTATTTCACTCATAAAACAGTCGAAAGTGGCTCATGACGAGCGGTGTAAGATCTTAATCAGTTCATTGCAAGATACTTTGCATGGTATTGAAACGAAAAGTTATAATAGGCGGGAACGTTCACGATCTCGTGAGCGCACTCATCGACCAAGACAACGCAGAGAGCGTTCATCTTCACGTTATAGGGAACGTTCACGTGAACGGGAACGTGAGCGCGATCGTGATCGCGAGGCTGGGTAAGTAGTTAACACACAAACAACTAATATTTTCTAAAGGTATTGGACTATTTGAAACCCCAAAAATATATTTCAGATACAGAGAGCGCTCCAGAAGCAGAGAACGTGAACGCCCCGTGCCAGATCACTACCGCGATGATAGGTAACTTAAAAATTATTTTTTAAATTGATTTTAAAACATATTTTTATAAATTTTATGAGTAAATTATAATTCTTATATCACTTGTTCAAAAATAAAGTAGCTCCAGTCGTTCTGCTCGTCCACGAAAATCTCCAGAAGCAATTGCGGAAGTTGTCAGCGATGTACCATCAAAACGCAGCTATTATGAGGAGCGTTATCGTTCATCAGATCGGGATCGTGATCGTGACAGGGACCGCGAGCGAGAACGTGACAGGGACCGGGATCGGGAAAGGGACCGTGATCGACGTGAGGAACATCGCTCGCGACACTAAGCGGAAAATGAAGCACGTAGAAATTTAAACCAGCACATGCAACAAAGTAAATAAATCTATACAATAAGAAAAGATGCTACGGTACACTTAAAGTGGTACATTGATTGTATTGTATGCAATGCTTAAACCATAAAGAAATAATCAACAATTATTCAACTTTTACGACAGGCCCCATAGCAAACGTACGTTTGCAAATTAACACTTTCAATTGATTATCATTATATTAAATAGATTTAAATGATCTAAACATGCTGAAATTAAATAATTTTTAAAGAAATCGCAAAATGCGGTTTAACTATAGACGACTTCGATGGAAAACATAACTAATTCAGTGGAATCGTCTTGATGAAGAACTATACATACATACATACATAGATGTAAACTCTTAAGTCGGAAATTATCAATTTTAAAATTCAACATGCTCATCTTCAATCAAGATTTATGCTGTAGCACGAAATGAAGTATTCAATAAAGGAAATATGGAACTAACCAGTACTAATGAGCCTGTGTGTGTGGAAAGATGAAGAGAAGTGAATAAATTATTTGAAGGACATCTAATTAAAGTTTGATTAAGTGAAATCGTAACTACTAACGGCGACAGCAGAACCGGTTTGCGTGTTTGCGGCATTAATCCTGAGCGTTCACATCCGAAGAAGATTGTATATTGATATTTCCATTTATTAATAAAAAAAAATATTTTAAAATGTTAAATTGCAAACTATTGTATTGTCTTTTATACTGATATACCTATAATTATATAAATATTCATATATTTATATGCACTATTGTTTTGTGCGTGGCTATAACAATTGTTATTTATTTTTTCTTTGTTTTATTATATTTATTATTGTTGTTAACTTTCTTCTTATTACAACATTGTTTCCCAATGTTTATTTTTAATTGTATGTATTATATCCATATACTAACTTAAAACATAGTAACAACTTCTGTTTGCACACACATTACTAACACAGAAAACCCTTCATAAATTCTACTCCTAACGGTATACTTAGTATTCGACAATCTCAAAGTACCTAGAATTATAAGTTTAACATTTTCGGTATATGGTTTTTATACTTATTACTCCTTTGTAACACCATTAGACTTAGACAATACGAAAACTTTGTTCAATATATAGTTTTTTTCAAGCACTTGTGTAAATTTCGAAATTGTTGCCCACTTACGTTAGGAGTTTTAATTTTTTCCTTTATCACATTTTCATCTTAAGTACACTTGAATGGAAGAAAAATGTGTTTAATCTTTGTATAATAATTATGGACGAAATTAAACGTGATTTAAAATTTTTTATTGTGATAATCGTAAATAAAATTTTACGGGTTCGATCCTATTAAGTATGTTCAATATAGATCAAAGTGTAGATATACTAACGCCAAAACTATAAATTAAGTGGCTAGCGTAATGTATTTGACAAATTTTATTTTTTCTCTTTATTTCTCCAAACTGTCCATCGCCTTACGATAGATACTTATTAAGAAATTTGTAAAAAAAAAAAATATACAACAAAAGGAACTATGATAGCATTTAATTTGAAATGTATAAGTTTAAAAGTTATTGAATATTTTTTTTTTTGGAAAAATTGTTCTTAAAACGTTATCCAGTATTCATTAATGCTACATATCGTCACTTAAAATGCAAAATAACGTATGATCAAAAAATTCGAAATTGAGAGTTTCATTGATTACGACCCACTACTTCAAATTACATACATATAAGTACATATCTACAGCATTTTAAGATTCTGCTATCAGATATAACCCAATTTTTACCAATATTTAAATTTTGTTTAACCCAAGTTCCATTTTATAACAATAATAATATTGTTACGTTATTTTGCGTTTTAGGTGACTATATATTTTTGAGATATATACATATGTGTATGTATATTTTACTTATGATTGTAAATCATACATATATTATTCAAACACTGAATTTTGCTCAGCATAATAGTATTCCATCTATCTTCATTTCCTAATATTAAGAATAACACTGCAAGTGGTAGTGTAATGTTAATTTTTTTTTTATTATTATTTATTATATTTTTTTTTTGTTTTGCTAAAAATGAATCCATTATGCATATATATATATATATAATATATTATTATATAATCTTTATTTCATATAATTATATGCTTTAATTGCATTGATACCTTTCTTGCATAAAGCTAAAGTCAGTAATTTTTAATGAGAACTATTTATTTCCAATATTTATTTTTGTGATTTGAAGTTTTTCAAAATGCATTGTATATACTAGTATAATCTGTGATATAATACGGTAAAAATGTACATCATCTGTGATGATGGCATTATTACTGTTGTAATTATAAAGTATTAATATGATTAATCAAAAGCAGGTAAAATTACTCGAAATATTCATATTGAATAAGTGGTGTATGTAAGGCTGCAGTTATCGGATGTTTGAGCTCTATTTTATTTTTATAACGGTTATCAAAATAATAATCAAACAATTGTGAGTAGTTATGTGGATAACTGCATATTTGTTATCATCCGATAACTTAAGCATTTATATTGTTATGCTTTTTTCTATTCCCATTTTACTCAATTACAAGTACATTAATGTATCAATGTACTTTAATCCAAATTGAACTGTTAAAAATTTTTGCATTGCTATTTTACATTTAAAGTGATATTTAGAAAATAATTACAGTTTTTCTGTATTTGAACTAATGTATTAAATAGATATTTGAATTATATAAACCATCAACTATTGTTATGAACAGTGAAAACTTTGTGGTACCTAAGTATTTATGTGCTCTCTCTAACAAGAAATCATGCTCGTGCGCTAAAGAGCCATCCACTAAGTCAGTAAGTTAATAATTGCAGTCAGGTTCATTGTTTATAGATGCAAACTATTTTATTTAATTAATAAAATAAAGAAAGTTAAAGATGAATTTTTGCGCAAGGAAAAGTGGACCAATCGCTGGTAAGTGTAAACCGATTTCTTGTTAGATTGAAAAAGCATATTTAAAAATAGTTGGTGCAAAATACAAACTTTATATAAAATATTAATATAATATTTAATTAAGACTTACCGTACGCAGGTTTCATGCACTTTATTTTTACAAGAAGGTTGTTAAAGAGATTTTTCTTTATTATTTTGTTTCAACTTTACAAATATTAGATTTATTAATAATAGCATAGCAGTTATTTTATAAGTGTCAACATACTTACAAATGGTAAATTAAGGAATATATTAATGACATTTCCATTAATACTAAGCTCATTGGAGCTAGGCCACCAATGCTAAGGTGTCATTTCTTTTAATTATATATCATATTCAGCCACTCTTAATATACACATAGATAGGGTGGTTATAAAATATACTATTTTATGTATTTATTCGAAACAAGTTGTTCAATAAACGTCTGTAAAGTGGCGTAAAACTACAAGAAATAAAAATATTCAGGGAGGCAGTAAGATGATTTTAATACGCACAATTTTCATTTTGCAATTGAAATAAACAAGTTGTAAACCCTTCTAAATATAATATTGCGTGCTCTAAAGCTACAACATATCCTTTGTACAGTTTATTTTTAAATAAAATTGTATATTTTACTTAAAACAGAAATAAATTAAATCCCACAATAATAGTGCGTATGTTATGTAGGGAAAGCGCATTATGTACGTACCAGTAACCGAACAATCAGAAGAGTAAGTAAATCATAAACGCAATAATATTCTTATTTTGTATTATTATTATTATTTATAATACTATTTGGTGTTTTCTTCTATACTCAACGTAATCATTATATTTAATATACTAAAATCGAAATTAACGGTTTGGTAGATATCAACATTTACCGTCAGATTAGCTACATAAGACAGAGGTATATTAAATTTTACTTCGGCTGTAGAAACCGAATTTTAATTTGCATTTATTGTATATTTTTTTTTACATTATATATTTGTATATTGACAATATCTGATATCTTCTAATGGGATAATACTTATCGCAAACATTTAATTCGTGTGTAAATAAAAGTATTTTCGAAGAGCCTGGCATCACCAACCAGTGGTGAAAAATGTACAAAGCGATTACAATAAAAAGCAAGTAAAGAGTTTCGGAGATGATTAGAAATTTATTGACAAGAAACGCGAAAACGTCTAGAAGTAACGAGTCGTAATATAACAGAGAAAACTTGTGATTACTTTGAAACTGAAAATTTATTAAAGCAAGATATAAAGAGATTTTTTTGTCAAAATAATTGAAAAGAATCAAGACCTAAAAAATAATAAATTTATAGTTATAATAACAACAATAATTCCACGGAGGTAAACCCCACGTATCCTCAACAGAAATTTCGCAATACGTTACGCCACTTTGCCTTAAAATGGCGTCTTCTACTGCAACATATGCAAATTTCCAGGACAGAGTCCAGGGATTTATCAATGGATTGGGTGATAAATAGTGAGTATCTGTAAAATTTGGTGTTATCAAAAACATATACTCGTTTTTTCTGCTTAGGTCGAAGTACAGGTGAATTTATATATGTACATGCACTTTTATATGTACATACATATACTGATAAATTTATGTTTTGCTTTTTAATTAAAGTGACCACTTTTTGTATTCACAAATGTTTAAAGAATTTGATTTTCGTTATAAATTATATAAGTATGTATTTTAAATAGATATATATATACCCTTTTATATGAGTTGGTTGTAATAAGTGCATTGGACCACGTCATTTTCATTTACATACATGTCTACATGCATAATAAATAAATATTAAGAACTTCAGATGTATGTTTATCCCTCAACCCATCTTAAAGGAGTAAAACCTTATTTTATTGCAGTGAACCGTATGTGCGTACTCATTTGGCCAAAGTGTACATGGTACTTGGAGCCGCAACGGCTAGTACTGCGGTAGGAGCGATGTTACAGTTATGGGGTGTTATAAATCTTGGTTTGATAGCCGCACTGGCCTCCTTGGGGCTTGTGTTGGGTCTCCATTTTTATAGAGATGATGGAAAAAACTACTATACACGCTTTAGCATGTTGATGGCATTCGGTTTTTGTTCAGGACAGACTTTGGGACCGTTGATGCAATATATAATAAGTATCAATCCATCGATAATAATAACCGCGCTAACAGGCACTGTGGTAACCTTCGTTTCACTTTCATTGGGTGCTTTGCTAGCGGAACGCGGAAAGTATCTTTTCCTGGGTGGATTGCTGGTCAGTGTAATCAATACTATGGCAATATTAAGCCTCTTCAATATGTTTTTCCAATCATATTTTGTTCAATTGGTAAGTAAAATAAATAAGTTTATTATAATTTTTGAAATTAATTTGGTAAATCACTTCTTTTTTTTTTTAATTACAGGCGCAACTTTATGTCGGTGTATTTGTAATGGCTGCTTTTGTGGTCTTCGATACACAAAATATAGTGGAAAAATGCCGAGCAGGAAATCGAGATGTTGTTCAACATGCATTAGATTTGTTCTTTGATGTTTTAAGCATGTTTAGACGATTATTAATTATTCTAACGCAAAAGGTAAAACATTTACACAGATGTTGAAAGTGTTTGTAGAATCTGCGGGTGTTTGTTGTTACTTAAAACTTTATGCTTCTATAGGGTTTGGCTCTTTTAAATTGTTAATTTCCGTTTGTGTTCAAATGTAAACATTACACAAATGCAGAAATTGGATTGATCTTGAACAGTAGTAACAGATTTCGTAATGAAGTAATAAAGTTCATTTGCGTGTACAAAATTCGGTTATGAAAAATATTTTCTAATAAAAAATAATATTGCAGCTTAAGCATCATTTGCTCTCATAAATTTCTGATTGCCGTGCTAGTTACTGAAGTTTCCTAATTAAACGTAATATGCAAATCCAATGATGAGAAATTTGTTTCGATAGTTAATCACATCACCCTATGGTACTCACAATTTAATTATAATTTTTTTAAGAAAATATATACATTTAAATGTATGTTAAAAATTTATTTTTTTTACAGGAGGAACGTAAACGTGAGGAGCGTCGTAAACGGAACTAAATGAAAATACCTTCGCGGAATGTTCAAATATTAATATTTTATATGAATATCTTTTCATGAATAACTTATACCCAAAATTCAGCATTAATATTATATTTCAAATCAATACTAATTACTTTGGTTTGTTTATCCCATGTTTCGTAAATATATCGGAAGATTATGTAGTTCTTCTATTTGAGGTTTTAGAACGAAATTAACTTTTAACTGAAAGAAAATTTTAGGTGCAAACAATAAATATTTAATATAAATAAAATGGGTATAGTAATATTTTCCTTTTAAATTTTGAAATCTTATTTATAAAAATGAAACCGAAATTTACTGCCTAAAAGTTAAAAGGATGCAAAATTGTCGAAATTCCATAGTGTAGTGAATGTTTGATTAAAAGCAGTTGGAAAAAAATTAATCAAACTAAAAAGTTATTAGAGGAAATTGATCGCAAAAGTACTTTTTTGGTCCAAAGATTTCAGATTTGTTCATTTTATTTGAGCAGATTGTACAATTGCAAGATCTTCATAAGATTTTCTAGATATTTCTAACTCTTGTAATAACTTTAGAAATATATCACGTGCTCCATCGAAATCAAGAACTGCCACACAGCCAACTGGAGCTTTCTTAAACAATGTATATGACAATTCACGACGCCTTAGTGAGAAGAGATATGGAATATTCTGCTGTTGGCACTGCTTCTTAATATTGCAAATCTTCTCATCCAGTCCGTCTATAATAGAAATAAAATAAATTTATTTGAACAAATTATAGGCAATATTTGCATTGTTTCAACCTTCGCCATCACATTTTTCACAGTCTGGTGCAATTATTATCAATTTTACTTTGTTTACAAGTAAAAAATTATTGGCTTCACGAAATCCTACTACGAAACGTCGATGAGCATGAGCCTTTATTGCATTTTGAGCAACGGCACGTTTTTGAAAGCGATCAAGTTCGCGGAGTAGTTGCTCAGTAAGTTCTTTCAATAGAGGAGTTGTGCAATTGTCGCAATAACTAAAAATATAAATTATTTATTCGTTATAAATATATGTGACGCCTTAATTTTGAAAAGCCCTTACTTTAACAATTCTTGCGGTAGCAGAAGAAATGCAACTAATTTTTAAATTTTCATGTATTTACTAATATTTTTCAATATTAAAGTATGAATATTGGTAAGTTTGTAATATTTGTTTATACCTTCTGAATCGCCTCGAGTGAGCGGTTTTAACAAATTCTTGAGTAGGCTTTAATTCGTTACAAACTGGCTCATTTTCCTTTTCTTTGGAATCGATAGAAAGAGATTCAATTAGATGCACAGTTTCCTGTAATAATTCTGTGTTTAACTGAGTTTTTTGTTGATTGTTTGTTTTCTGCTGCCTGTAGCTCAATATAGTTTTTTTCAACTTGGTATACTTTTTTCTTTTACCATCTTCTCTAGTCTTACCCCGTTGCTTCCAGGTTTTATACGTACGATTTCTAAATTTGCAAACAGTTCGGTATTTTAACTTTGTTTCCTTTTTCCTTTCCTTAGAAGTTTTAGTAAGAAAATGCAGTAAATTAAAGGTTGCACCCCCACCGGTGTTCACAGCACTTTTTTTCCGAAACTTGGCATTTTTTAATTTACGGAAGGGATCATGGTCTTCAGTACCTTGGCTATGCTTTATATTTTCGAAGGTTTTTCTGTCAATAACATTTAGTTTGTCGGAAATACTTTTATAGTGGGCCATGCCACTAAAATTGCTTTTCATATATGTTTACAACTTTTCTTTACTAAAACAAACTCTTAACAATTAAATTTTTTCTATATAAAAATAAAAACACAGACTTTGTATTTCACAGCTGTATTGTTTACAAAGTGTTCTCACTGTCAATAATCGATGCTATTGTTTTTGTAGTTGTACTACATATATTTGTTATCGATGTGAACGGAAGCATAGATAAATTCCGGAAAGTGTGGATGCGATTGTAAAATTATTTGCGTAAATTCTTCAAATCAAGGTATTTTTTTGTTTAAACGTTTTGTTTAAAGTCGAGTACAACATTTTTACTTGAAATGCATTTGTTGCAGACAAAAATGGTGTGTATATTACGCCGAGTAGTCCATTGTCAAATAACACTTTGTCCGATTAAAAAATAAAAGCGTTTAGATCATATATATACTTATCCTTACCTTAAAGGTATTAAGCGATTTTTCGAATGACCTCGGTTATACTGAATGTCTAACAAGGACATAATTATAAATTTTGTGAATAAATAATTCAAAACTATGTCGTATTTAATAAAAAGTCAAAAAAATATATATTCATATGCGAAATATAAGTTTACGAATAAATATTCTACTTCTTCTACAGACCTGAGATCAAATAAAAAAATTTTATGTTTAATATAGAGGGAATATAGTTTTTAATTGCCAGTTTACATTGCTCCATTCAACAAATTGTTCTACATCCATTTTCTGTTTACCTATACTGTCGAATTTTTGATACTCAACTAAAGTTTTTATGTATTCCAAACATTTTCGCATTCGAAGTGAGTGTAGTTTTTGGCGTTTGCAATAGCTGAGTAAAGCTTTCAATTGATCAAAGGGTTCCATTTGAGCCAAAATAAAGCTAAATATGTTTCGCACATCCACTTTTAAATGCATTGGAAATACTCGAGAATCCGTTGCGCGTCCACGGGGAAACACAATTAAGGTGGGCGTTTTGTCAATTTTAAACTCCCAACGTAACTCATCTAACGATGTGTTTATACGTACGATTTGAATACCTGACGAATCGTCAAGACGAGCTGATAATTGTATAAGTGCCTGTGATACAAGTGCTGAGAATGTACATAACGGCGAATAAAGCAGTACAATTGTGGTTAAATTGGACTGCTCTATTTTTTTCATGAATATTTCACTGTTAACGATTTCAATAAAAACCTTGTTTTGAGGTATTTCTGGTTTTATTTTAAAGCAACTACTTGTTTTATACGCTGTAAGGCTATTATTATAGTAACCCCGTACAAAGTGTTCCAACCTGTCGTATTCAAATAAATCTTGCGACAAAAAAATACTTTCTTTCAAGGGATCAGCTATTATCATTGTTACTAAGTTCTTTAAATTCGTTTCCTTAATTCCCAAAGTTTGAAAAAAATCCATGTGCTTAACTTCATCCAAAATAACAACAGATAATGATTGATTTTGGTTCGACCTGAAATCGACCCAATTTGTTTCGACAAATTTTTTTAAATATTTTGCGGCTGCTATTTTTTTTTTGGGCGAATTTAATTGTTTGCTTCGTAAACACTTTATAAGTTGCTTAATATTGAATTTCAATCCATTTTCAATGTCACAGTTATCACTCAATTGGCACATCAATCGCTTAAGTTGGGCGTTTAATCCGTAGTAATATTGTAAATTCCATAGGTTAACATATTCTTTAGCTATACATGTGCTTGGGTTTGATATTTGCATTTTTTCCATCGCATATCTTAAATAATTAAGCTCTTCAAAAACATGCAGATCATCTTGCAAATAGTTTAGAGAACATTCGTCCTTAATGAACATTTCAGGATTTGTTAAGTTAAACATATATTCGTAGAAATAGTCGTTTGCAATTACAGCCAATACGGGCGACAAGCGTAACTGACTTGCAATATTTTTTGGTGAGTTATAACCGTACAAAGAATTTACTGACAGCACAATCTTCGATTTTAACCACGCAACGATATTGCTAACGTTCCAATCGTTTGGTAACAGCTCTATATCTTTATTAGTGATAAGTAAAATTTGTGATTGTGCTTGGTTGTTATTATTCACTTTGTCAATAATAATATCCTTTGGTTTTCCAAATGTTGTGGCAAATCGAAAATTTGACTCTGGATCAACTTCTAGCCATTTGACGCCTGCACTAACAAACTTCCGAAACTCAGGTTGAGAGGGATCAGGAAAAACTCCCAATACTACAGCATCTCTTTCCATTCTCATTTCTTTTAATTCACTCCTTGAATGTAATCTTTCCACAGGTAGAAACAGGTTGTCAATAAAGATATGAAGAGCTGTCGAACTCCAATCCCCGTTATATTGTAAACGAATTCGTTGACCGTATTGTACTAATAAAGTTGGCCATTTGTTTGGAGCTCCTGAGCCAAGCGCAGACGTGTGCGTTTTGCTGCAGTTGCATGCAAGGTGATAACAATCGATGGTAGCGAAATAAATGTTTTCCCGGTAAAAGTGTGCAATGTGATCATATAACTTTCGGGCTATTCGACTATCATCGCTCCACGATACATGATAAAAGAGAAATGATAACTCATATTGTTCAGCTTGTTGGCGTATTTCATTAACAGCTTCTCCTGGACATTCAATAGGCGACGCAGTTACGATTGAAATAAACAATAATCTGCCAAATATAAATAACACGTAAGAAAATATTTTCTCCCAAATCAACATATTTTCTAATTGGATATAAACAGCTGTAATTGATTATGATATGAATATGGAGGCAAACACAATCGAAATTAGTTAAATAGGGCTGCCAACTCTTTCCAATCCGGAATAGAGAAAGCTGCTAAATCTACGAAATTTTTTTGGCGGTAAGAGGAAGATTTTTCTTTTTTGCTGAAAGTAAAATGTCTCATAAGCAAAAAGAGCTAAAATATCAATAGGTTTTACTACTGTGTATTTTAGAACTAAAAAATTTTAACACTAATAAAAGTACGTAAAAATAAATAGAGTAAACATAAGTTATTCGTGACATTACATAAATTTTACAATTTTTTTTATCTAACATGATTAAAATCCCCTTTTGCACAACCAAGAATTTTAAATACGTTGTAGGTTCAAGTTGAGGTACTAAGTGCTGTAGTTAAATTCAATATACTCATTAATGCTCCGACAAGTATTTTTTCTGAGGCATATAGTATGCCGCCCACTGTTGCTGTTATGGGCTGAAAATATAAAATATTGTTAGCGCAACTCTGTAATTGCAATATAGTTGAAAACTGGATGTTGATAAGGAAATACATACACCAAGCAAATATAAAGTAACCACGATTACGCGTTGCAGAATCACGATCACAATTGATATTCCCGTTAGCATTCCTAGCAATGTAATCAAGGTCAGAACCTCAACTAAGCGCACAGCTACGGCCATTTTGCTTTTTGTAAAACCAAAAAATGATGTTTGTTCAGAATTTCCAATTTTTCGTTTGATATACAATTTTTATAGTTTCTTTGACTTTTTTATTATTCATTATTTTTAATAATTTTCTTTCACAGCAACTTTGATCTTGCTATATGTGGGATTTTTCGCTTCATTTTATGTCTAATGCTTTGAAGTATGATTCCATTTAATCGAATATATCAAATGCAAATTCAAGAAGTTTAGCTAAAACCATTACCTAAAATATAAAATAATACAACTGTTTAAGGAACCATTAAATTTAAATACAGTTTGTTGATACTCACCAATGTATCTGCAATAATACTGAACGATTTCATCATAATTGTAGTGATTTCTTCGGGATCATAGAACTGTAATATTCGAAATACAACCTTCCAAAGAAAGCAATAATTGGATGGAAATGTTTGCTTTACATACATATGCATATGTAAATTAAAATTTAATATTTTAAACTTACAATCGCAGAAGCTATAATAAATAATGGCCAAATAACCGCCATTACTAAGCGAACTGCCCATATTATTGTATACCATGTTATAAGGAATAATCCAATATATGCAATGATCGTACCGTAATCGTTAGGCAAATTCATGTTTTTTGTTAACCATTCATAAAGTACACAATGCAGAGGTAAGTCCTAAGTAAATCATTTAACAAGTTATTTCCTTTGTTTTTCATTCCATGTATTATACTCACCGTCCAATTGCCAGTTTCTGTTGATTGGAAAGGGGAATATGACATTCTTTTTTAGAAATTTTGATAAATTAAAATCTGAATAAAAAATGTTTGTCATCAAAGATTTCTGGGCTAAATTGTTTTGTATAGATTTTCTAAAATGAAAGCATTCAAATACCCCGATGAGTATTTGGGTAGATGTGTATGCACCGCCTTTTCAGTACGAGTAGAAAATTATTTAGTATTGTAATAAGATATACTATATTATCCTATGCATAAGTTGTACTATAAATACACAAATACTTAAATTTTATTAATTTACTATGTTGTTTGCAGCACGGTAGACCATGGCTTGCAGAATCTGAAAAGTTATATTGTGCATAAATTTTCGATATTTCTTGTTGCGCGAACCTTCGAAATACGTGTACCATAACTATTGGGTATTTGCATTACAACATTTGTTTACAATGAATACATATATATTTATATTATTTTCGTATTCATGTTGATAAGTATTTCTCTCCCATATCCGAAAAGTTATCTAATGTGTTTAAGGTAGTTTTTAAGTTAACCAGATCGTTTTTTGACGGTAAAACTAAAATATGGCAAAATAATTAAATGCTTTGTTTTTGTTTACGTCTTTGATAATACTTAACAAAATATGAGAAAACATATTTGACATTTGTTTATATTAAAACATACACATTTAAATAACAAAACATGTTGCGTAGACTTACCAAGTTCATAAATATTATTATTATTTTTGAAAGCTGGTTATGTACCCTTGATGAAAAAATGGCAGCGAACAAGGCAATAAAATTTTATATTTAGATGCAATTTATAATAATATATGTCTCTAAAATTAATATGCAATTTTAATAATGCAATTAGTAAAGTGTTAAAATTTTAACAAACAAATTTTTCAAGAAAAATGCGAATCTTAAATTTTTTGTTTGAATGGCAAATGCCTTTATTTTCACACTCATTAAATTGAAATTACATACAGTTTATTTACTTTATCAGCAAAGTTATTTATCGTTTCGGTGTGGTAGTTTCTCTACTATACGTAGGTTTTTAGTTCACATTTCGCATATATAAACATATATATTGAATGCATATTATGTATTTGTTGAATTCTGTTCTGATTGATTTCTAGGTATATTTATGATGGATATTTTGTAATTATATCTCCTATATTTTTCATTTACATTATAATTTGTATGAATATACATACATAAATATCTATGTTTATGTATATGTATATATCATAAATTTAGCTTAAATTTAAACTTAAAAATTTCGAATACCATTGTAACGTGATTTGTTTTATATTATTTCTGCTTTGCTCGTTATTCATTATTTTATATCGGTTTTGCCAACGATTAAAACTAAAGTCATTATTCATAAATTATTTAAAATATGTTGACTTATTGGTTATAATAAACTGTTTGGTTAATCCGAAATTAAAAGAAGCAAAAATATATCATACCATAAAAATTGAAGTCTACGCAAATATATCCAAGGATGTGTACAAGACTGAAGAGTTGAAAATTGGACTGTGTTGCGTCGACTTTAAACATAGTGAAATTCAATACTAATAGGGCGTAAACACACATATATGCACATATCAAATGTATAAAATACATATGTATGCAAAAATAAATCACGTAAAAAAAACTTATTAAGGGGTCTTTAAAGCTCCTAGTCGTATTGACCCATATAAAGTTTTATTAAATCACACAGAGCAGACAATCCAAAACATTTTCATATCGAATTGTTTAAATTTCTTGATAAATAACTTATTGTACTCATTTGCTTGCCGCATTTTCTGATTATTAAATGCATTACAAACTTAATTAATGGGATTTTGCTGTTTTTTTATTGAGCCATCATCACTTGTTGAATTATATTTATTTATTGATTGATAAACGTTCGACACTTGCCAGTAATTCATCCGCTGTCTGAGAAACAACCTGATCTTGGTCGTCACTGGTACTCAGGTTCTGCAGACGTTGTTCAAGCGCAGATAGATCTTCTAGCTCACGTTGTTGTTTTACCATATAGCGTAAAATAAGCGTTGTCAGCATGCACATATCTTCTAAAATTTTCGCTGACTCGGGAGTGGGACGGTCGTAGCGTGTGCGCAACAGACGTAATTTGGCCTCGGCTAATTCAAGAGGAGTTTTACCACTGCGATCATACATATGCACACTTGCTCCACCTTGTAGAAGTACGCGTACCACAACATTAAAGTTATTAGAGCTGGCTGAAATTACGGCAAGATGGAGTGGAGTATTGCCAAGCGAATCCACAACATTAGGATTGGCGCCGAACTTCAGCAACTGTTGGACGATTTGTATGTAACCTCGACAAGCAGCCAAATGCAGTGGACTCCGTTTATATTCATCAGCCGCATTAGGATCCGCTCCAGATTCTAAGACGCGTGTTAACAATTCGATATTGCAGGTGGTAGCGGCCGTGCGCAATTTGCGCCCATTTGACTCAGCCAAGATATTGTTATAGTTTGAACGTAAGCGTTGCTTGCTACGCGTGCGGAGGCGCATCTTAAATTGAGACAGATGACTTCCTGACGGCAGGTTACTCGGATGGAGCAAATAATCAGAATTGAGGGGTAATGGCGGCAAATGTGGTAGCGCAAAATGTTCGCCGCGATTCAGTTGGAATGCATTCGGACTGAAATTTGGCCACTCATGCGTGTTGGGTGAGGACGTTGGAGTGGGAGGCATTATGGCCGGTGGTGGTGTAATATCTATGATTTTTGTTATGCCACCTCCAATACCTACCGATAATCCGACTCCAATATTAACACTAACATTACTGACTCCATCGTTGCTATCATTGCTCGTCTCTACGCCGGAATCATTCGCGGCCATTGCTTATGTGTGTGTGTAATTTGAGCTTTGCGCTCTGTTAATATAAATATTGCTTTAATGGGCGTTAAACTATATATTTAATAACAGTTAAATATTAATATTATTTGGTTTTTAATTTTTTGTTGTAAATTTTTTCAATATTTCACACGCTTTCTTAAATAAACAATATTTTTTCACACATTGGAAAATTTTTTGTTTTGTGTATTTTGTGTTTTTTTCTCTTCTTCGCCTATTTTTAATAACACTCGACTACTACTGTCAAATTTTGTAGTTGCCAGCTTGTATTCTTCCCCATAAATGTGTTTAATTTATGATCGTAAATTAATTTCAAAAACTACGATCAAAAATGCTCAAAAAAAGAAATATATGTACAAAAAAATTATACGATATATGTATTTTTTATGACTTAAGTACCGTTATTTGAGTGAATATCTGTTGTTTTTAAGACTACACTAGAATAGTGTCCATTTCCCAACCCAAGGAAGGTAAATTAATGTTTTATTGTTTTTCTAATGCTCGACATTTATTTTATTCACAATATATATGTATATATATAAATTAAAAAAAAAATTTTGTTACATGCATACACTACACTAATAGTAAAAACCCTAAACGACAGCATACAAATTTATCATGTAGTCTGCTAATAGTAAAAAAACATAATACTGTTGAAAATTTTTTCTTATAACAATGTACATTTGTACCTCTAACACTAATAAGAAGAAATTTTTATATAATATACCTTCTTTTGCTTGCTAGTTTTACATTTTTTATGGCAAGTTATTTAAAAAATATGTGTTCACTTTCTAATTGCTTTCACATTTTTAAGTTAAGACTTATTGTATATAATGGAGTATGATCGATTAAAATTCATAGTATTTAAGTACAATTCTGGTATATACAAACTTATATCAATTTGCATTGCCAATATTTTGCCAATTTCAGTCTATTGTAAACGATACTGTAGTTGCATTCCACTCACGGCATGACTATTTAATCGAATGCTACTTTCCTAGTAAATGAAGTAAGTGATGAAATCTCACTGGGATTAGAATCAGAAGGTAAATGGCTGAATTCAATTTCTTCATTTGCGGCTGCAGCAACAATATTTTCATTTGATTGTGTTGTTTCATCAGAGTTATTGGATGGCCATTGTTTGTGGCTTGGGGCATACAGAATAAGAAGCGCGAATATATAGATGTTCCACATACCATAGACACCAGTCAAGAATGCAGATGTTAATTGTATTTCCATATCTTCGTCCCATTTCCATTGACCTTCCGCAACTTGTCCCATAATAAATCCGGCAACAGTCAGTCCAGCACATACTAGTGTAGCAAGCATCAGAAATTTGAAGCGGTATATAAGACCTACAAATTCGTTAGAATATATCAATCTACTTGCAGTTAATATTAACTCTACCTAGGCTATTATCGTATCTAAAAATTATCTTTTCCTTTAACAACTTTTCAATATGCATATTTGCGCAACTAATATACTATAATTTCATGCAAAAATACTAACCTTCATAGTGTAGTCGGCGAGCATTAGACATAGATGGCAATGATGTGCGCTTTGCTCCGATATTTTTAAAAACTTTCCAAACCATATAGCATAGGAAAAGGAAGTAAATGCCAGCCGATATTGCAGCCAAAATAATAAAACTCATTGCCACTCTGGCACCCATAGGCGTAGTCCATATGGAATAGAATGGGTTCCGCATCTGTACACCACGTTCGCATATATCAAATATGAAAAGTGATAAACATCCAACTACAACAGCTGACAAATGTTTCCAATAGCGGGAACGTATCGTTGATTTATATGGCGACTCCTGAATTAGCATGTGTTCTCCAGCGAAAACAAGCCAGAACGAAAGCAGCATTGCATAAAATACGCCTTGTCGAATATCACTCAGTAGCAGCATATAGGGCATCTCAATGAATAAAGATAGATATTCCAGTGGAAAATTAAGAAATGTTAAAGCTGCACCGAGATATATCAGCATATATTCCAATAAAGCTGGTGAACGTTGTAGGATATGTACTCGACGCCAAAACCAAATCATTATTGCCACCAAGAAGGGGAAAAGGATAGTTTTTAGAGACAGCCACACTTTTGTGAAACCACCATTTTGATGAATTACAGTAAGTGTTAGATCGTGCATATGACCCAAATTGAGATTCATTTTCATATCGGTGTCAATGGGAAAACGTAAATTAAGCAAATAAAAGTCGTGATGTAGATCGCCCAATTCAAACAGAGGTACCATATCACAAGAAAATAGAGATTCCTCTTGACTTGCCGTCTTCAAACTGCAATCGATGTAACGCTTTTCAAGCGAATGTGCATAAAGTTTCCAATCACTTTTACGATCACCCTTGTTTCTATAATTATATACGAGATTTAAAATAAAATGTGTTGACATGTAGCATGATTTGTACGTACCTATAAGCTAAACGCATATCGATAGTTAATTGAAGATCTTTAGGCGGCTCTACCAGTGACATGTCAGAATCGTATGCAATATCTACCTGTAAAACTCCAATTAAATTTTGTTGCCATCGGGAGTAGTCAAATTCTTCTCCACGCGGCAAAGGCATTTGGAAGATATATACTATCTCATTTGCCATCTTTGTGTCGTGTTGTTCAATATCTTCTTGTGATACGGAAGCACATTTTCCCTCACCTCTTAAATGCAGCCAAAATGTAGTGTCATTTTGACGCTGCGGTGTATCTTTACAGACCATACCAAGAATTACTTGATGGCCGGCTGGTAGTGGCGCCAATAGACCACCCAAGAGAAAGCAGGCGACTTGGCTTAATAGCAATATAGCAACTAATATGGCTAATTTACGTCCGCTAAGATTCTCCAGAATTGTACCTGACATTTTTGGTATGTATTAGCACCAGACTTTATTTAAAAATGCGGCTAAATAAAGAATCGATATAAATATAAAAATTGTTGTATACCAGGGAAAAAAAACTAAAATAAAGCGTCGCCGATAACAATAGCGACTGCGTAAGAAGAAGATCTACTAGGCTGCCAAGTTTGTTAAAAAAATAATGTACAGATCTATATTAGATCTTGGGTTTAGTAATCTTTTACTATATGAGGAAATTTACCTTGAAATGAAGTTCACATGTATGTAGAATTAAGAATATAAAATATTAAATCAATACATTTAGTATGTGTACATTTAAGAGAGTTTATGTAAATTTGTATGGCAACACCACAAACAATGGTCAAAATTGTTATGCTGCGCTAACACTTAATTATCTTTACAAATTAATTTACATCAAACATGTTTAGATAATAAAATACGAGTATAAGAGTTTTAATGATATTAAAATTTAAAGGTTTTCAATGCAAAGAAATTTCTCCTGCCGAGCTGGCAGTGGTGAAACTGGCTCATCCCGACCGAGTTAGCCAAAAATATTTTTACGATCTCCGCCGTGAACCTTCTCTATGATAGACGTTCTCTGTATTATATGTTCTCTGTGCTTTCTTTCAATTGGGCGTTATCTGTAAGTTGGTAGTTGCATTAAAATTGTAGAACTACATTCCAAACAGTGTCCACATTAGTGGCATGCTACAAAGAGAATTTGACAGTTGACATGCACATCGTATCGACGTGTCAAAATAGTAAAAGTTGTAATAAACTCATCTAGCCTGTATCGTCTCTTAAAATAAATAAATATTTATAAACAATTGTAAAACTTTGAAAAATTTGCTAGGGCGCACGGGCTAGAACGGCAGAGAAATGGTTTTGGCAGATTTAGGTCGGAAAATTACCTCGGCGATTCAGTCGTTGAGTAAAGCCACAGTAATTAATGAGGAAGCTCTGAACTCAATGCTGAAAGAAATATGTGCAGCTTTGCTTGAGGCTGATGTGAATATTCGTTTAGTTAAACAATTGCGCGAGAATGTAAGAGCTGTCATAGATTTCGACGAAATGGCTGGTGGCTTAAACAAGCGACGTATGATACAGTCTGCTGTCTTCAAGGAATTGATAAAATTGGTAGATCCTGGTGTAAAGCCATATCAGCCAGTAAAGGGTCGGCCCAATGTTATTATGTTCGTCGGTTTACAGGGTTCGGGTAAAACTACAACATGTACTAAGCTAGCCTATCACTACCAAAAGCGAAATTGGAAATCTTGCCTTGTTTGCGCTGATACCTTCCGTGCAGGTGCATATGATCAGATCAAACAAAATGCAACAAAAGCTCGTATACCGTTTTATGGTAGTTATACTGAAATAGATCCTGTTATGATTGCACAAGAGGGTGTGGATATGTTTAAACGCGAAGGATTCGAAATCATTATAGTGGATACATCCGGGCGTCACAAACAAGAGGAATCTTTATTCGAAGAAATGTTGGCAGTCTCTCGAGTTGTTTCGCCCGACAATATAATATTCGTAATGGACGCTACCATTGGTCAGGCTTGTGAGGCCCAAGCTAAAGCGTTCAAGGAAAAAGTGAATATTGGTTCAGTTATCATTACTAAACTCGATGGTCACGCAAAAGGTGGTGGCGCACTATCTGCAGTTGCATCAACTAATTCTCCGATTATATTCATCGGTACCGGAGAACATATTGACGACTTAGAGCCTTTTAAGACGAAACCGTTTATAAGCAAACTTCTTGGTATGGGTGATATCGAAGGTCTGATTGATAAGGTAAAAATTCGGACAATGAACAATTCAATATATTTTGATCGAAATAGAAAACTTTTTAGGCATAAGTTTAAATTTATTTGAATTACTTGCCGTTGAATATATATAAATTTATAATTTTTTAAGGTGAATGAACTGAATCTGGACGGCAATGATGAACTACTCGAAAAAATAAAGCATGGCCAATTTACCATACGCGATATGTATGAACAATTTCAAAATATTATGAAAATGGGTCCATTCTCTCAAATAATGGGCATGATTCCGGGTTTCTCTCAGGACTTTATGACAAAAGGTGGTGAACAGGAGTCAATGGCAAGAATAAAGCGTATGATGACCATGATGGATAGTATGTCCGATGGTGAACTGGATAATCGTGATGGCGTAAAG